ATTTGGTATTGACACTTGGATATGAGCAAATTATTCAAATGACGTTTCCGCATTTATTTCTAATGTACTATAGTTGAGAAAAAAATATTTACGCATTTTGGCATTTATTTAAATACTTATTTACAGGATATTTCGACTTAAGTAACGCCTTGAGTTAATAGAAATTGGGGCGTTCTACAAATGCTTCTGCAAGCGACCATAAGGTTGTGGATATGCATACAAGCAATGACTCGTACATATAATGCCAAATTGCTAGGCTATGGAGGTGTAGTTCTTTCCTCACAAAGCCATTGAACCAACAGATATCAAACTGGGCAATAAGAATACAGCCCCCAACAGGTTCAGTATAGAGAATAATGTGTTGTACTTGCATCATAAAACTCTCATAACGAAACAGCAACAAAAATGGACATTGTTTGATGCCATGAATGCAAATACACACTTCGTAAAATCTCAAAAAAATATAGGTTGTTCGACTGATGATGAAAATTGAAGAAAATCAAACATGCTCGCACATTCTATATCAATATAAATTCATATAATATCTGGCCAAGGTTGCAGAAATGTAGACAACAATTCATAGAGAAGATGTAATCAATTATAAGCACTTCGCATGCATAGACAAATCAACTCTAAGGTAAATACAAGAGAAGCACAAAGATGGAGAAACTTACTTCAGCACACATTGGGTGCCTATGGATTGTTAGAGGAGGATGCATCTTCTTATTTCCTACGTATTCAAACCTTACAGGTACACAGCAGAAAATTAAACAGAAAATAAAAATAAAAATCAGTATATCTTCATTTTCTGTTCTCTGTCCCTTAAATCAACTTTCCAACAATGAAATACCTTGAATTTTTTTTATTTCAAATAACACTCAGTTTGGATCAACATATCTCCTTTATGTACCTTCAAAGTTTCGATTTGAGGGGAAAAGAAAAAAGCTATATGACATTAAGATCCCTGGCGGGGGCGGAGCCACCTGGGTTCTTTATTCTAAGGCTAGGAGAAAACCATAAACAACGGCCTAAAAAATTCAAGAGAAATGTTGTCGAAAAAATCACTGTTGCTAGAGGAAGATTACCATCAAGAAACAACAATTTCGAAAAAAAAATATAAAAATTATAAGGAGATGAGTTGAAATTAAATCATTCACGACGATCAGATCAAGTGCGATTTCAGCATATAAAGCCGGTTTTTACTCTAATAAAGATCCGATACTACCTTGCAGCTTTGTTGACGAAGAAATTGAGTAGAAATCACTGGTATACAAGATAAATTGGTACCAAGGGGTGGTGAATATGTTCCCTTTTGCCTCTGCCCCAATTTTTAGTTTAAGAAAACCTTTGACGTTTGTCCCCTTCGCTCTGTGAATAAAAACAGGCCTTTCTAATCCATTTTCTCAGACGGGCCTCAATCAAGTAAAAAATAAAATAGGGAAGAATACATGAATAAGATATTTATTTTTACCCATTTCAAAAATACCAAAACATATTTTAAAATTCAAAAATCAGGTTT